TACTTTTGATTATAAAAATGATGTTTTATTAGAGTTTAATAAACTCAGAAGTTATCCCAAAAATAATAGTAAGTTGGCAGATAGCAGATATGCTGATAAACCCAGAATGCAAACTTATTATTACAATCTTCCTACTCCTCAAGATGTTTTAATAGAGGAACGTGATTGGAATTAGACTAATACGTCTTACAGTGGTTCCGAAATTTACGAATGGAATCTTGATGGATTAACTGATAGACAATTGACNATCTTGATGGTTTGACTGATAGGCAGTTAACTATTCTTGTACATAGAATGCTTATGTATGCAACTATCTGTAAAAGTGTGAAAAATACAGATAGAAATATTTGTAGAATGATTGTTGCAGGTTTTACTGGCCAACTTCGTGGCTGGTGGGATAATTATTTGACTATCGAAGAAAGGGCAATGGTTATTAACGCTAAAGCCATTGACGAAGGAGTTGATAACTTAGGCATGGCCTGGTGGCAAATAGAGAAGATGTTGTTTATACCCTTATTCTTACTATTTTAGAATACTTTAATGGTAGATTTACCAATCAGAATGAGACTGTCCGTACTCTACTTAATGGCCTTAGATGTAAGACCTTAGGTGAGTTTAGATGGCATAAAGACACTTTTATGAGTAGAGTGATGGAACTACCTGAAAATAAGCTTGAATATTGGAAAACTAAGTTTATATATGGCCTTCCCTCCTTATTTGCTGAAAGAGTTAAAAAGGTTCTAAGAGGTAGCTATGGTGAAATCCAGTATGTTAATTATACCTATGGTAAGTTGATAGGAATTTGCACATATGAAGGATTAAATATGTGCAATGAGTTGAGATTATCCAGACAGCTTAAGATGGATAAGCTTAAAGAAAAATCCCAGTTAGGAGATTTTTGTACTCAGTTCGGATTACCAGAAACTTCTACTCATAAGAAGAAGAAACATAAGTATCATAGATACCCCAACCAAGACAGTCCTTATAGGAAAAAGAGATCTAGATATAGATCCAAAGATGAACGAGAAGCTAAGAAAGCCCATCGTAAAGCTACTAGATTTACCAAAAATAGGTCTAAGCGAGATCTTGCTGACATTAAGTGTTATAAGTGTGGTAAATTTGGCCATATAGCTCCAAATTGTAAGCTTCAAAAGCTGAAAACCTTAGGACTAGACGATGAGTTACGTGATAAGGTTTATGGTTTGTTATACACTTCTGGATCAGAATCTGATTACTATTCTGAGTCAGAATCCGAAGCTGAAATAGATTTACTTGATTTATCTTATAGTGATAAAAATGTTGATAATACTTGTACAACTTGCAAAGGTGATATATGTACTTGTGATGATAATGAATTTTATAAATTGCAATCACAATTTGAAGATTTGAATATGAAAACTATTACATCTGATAATGTAATAGAACTTTTAAAAGAAGTTACTGATGAAAAACTTCGTGAAAAAATTATTAATTTGGCTGCTAGTTCAAGTTCTAATTCAAGTTATAATTTTGTAAAACCTTTTGAAAAAGAATTTGAATATTCTCCACCTTATTCTTTACTAGAGGTTAATAACCGTCTTTTGAACAAAAATGCAACTCCAGTAAGAGATTCTTCTTTCGATGATTTAAAAATTGAAGTTAAAAACTTGAAACGAGAGATCAAATCTCTTAAACAAAATCAAATGATTTGTGATCATAGGATTACTCAGATTGAGAAAATCAATTCTCCAGCTGAGAAATCTAATGATAAAAACAAAGGTATTTCTGAAGATGATATCGAAGAAAAACCTATTAGTTTTGATCCTAAACATGATATATTTTTAGGAATGATGCAAATTATTACTGCTCATAAATGGTATATCAAATGTACTATTCTTATTGATAATAGTTTTTCTATTACAAATATTGTCATGATTGATAGTGGAGCAGATGTTAGTTGCATTCAAGAAGGTTTAATACCTACGAAATATTTTTAAAAAACTACTCATATGGTTAGATCTGTATCCGGACATGCTTTAGATATAAAGTATAAGCTTCTTAATACGGGTATTTGTCAGAATAAAGTCTGTATTCCTCACTTTTTTTTCTTGGTAAAAAACCAGTTATACCCTCCTATTATACTTGGAATACCGTTTATTAATGCCATTTATCCTTTTACTAGCATAGACTCGAAAGGTTTTACTGCTACTTATAAGGATAAAGAGATAAGTTATACTTTTGTTACAGATCCAGTAACTAGAGATATTAATGCTTTAATTGATATGAAGCAAAAACATGTTGATTCTTTACAATTAGAAATGTTTAGTATGAATATATTTGATACTCTGAATTCTACTAAAGTACAGGAAAAAATCAAATTGATTTCCGAGCAGATTGCTATTGATATTTGTGCTGAGCATCCTAGTGCTTTTTGGAATCGAAAAAAGCATATTGTTACTCTTCCATATGAAGATAATTTCACTGAGGATGATATTCCTACTAAATCTCGACCTTGTCAGATGAATGCAGAATTGGT